AAAAAAAAAAAAAAACTAAACAAAAATAAAGCAAAAATGTTTATAGAATCCTCCTTGATCGAAGGAAAAACCAAAAAATGAAACCTTTGTCAAATGATAAAGTGGGATTATATATATTTTTAGACATATTCTTGTAATTACTTTAAAAACTTATTTAGTAATAAAACTCCCCTCATCCCTTCCCAAAAGTCATATTTATGTATATTATATATGTGTGTATCTGTCTATGCATATATAAAATAAAATAGGGCCCAAACCCAACCCCAGGCAAAGATAAAACAGGAGCTGCTCTCCTCTCTAACCTCCTGTGCACCCCCCAGGAGCCCCAGCTTCCTCTGGAAAACCTCCCCAAATATTATAGGTAGGTTCCTCTCTCTGGGACAGGAAACAGAGGCAGCTGTTTTCACAGTCACTTTATTGTATCCAGTACATATCAGACCAGTCCACCCCTAGCTCAGGCACCACTGAACTCCCATACCTCTGGGCCTTAGTACGGGTTTCCCCCACAACCCTGTCTGACACACCCATCTGTCTGCAAACTCTGATTCATTCTTCCCAACCCAAAACCCTGAGTACCCTAGGCAGCACAGATTATTCCCATCTCAGTGCTTCCTTTGACAGTTTCATTCTGGTATTAAAGGCTTTGTCATCCTGCGTTGATCCACAGGGCCCAGCCAATGGCTGCCTCTGAGCAGAGGTCTAAGAAACACTGAACAGATAGTTGAATCATGAACAAGGAAACTGGGAAAGAATCTGAGAAGGGCTATGTGGGACACAGGCCAGAGCTACTGAGCTAGGGCCCACTGGAGTGGTGACGGCAGGGGTACAGGGCACTGAATGGGATTGTCTGGCACAACCTACATTTTCAGGCTCTCTAGAGCTCAGCAATCCAGGTGGCAGGGGTTCAAGGAACGGTAAGGTCCTATAGGTATTTGGGCCTGCCCTCTCCCTTCCACCAGTGCAGTGCGGGTACAGGTGGCCCGCTGAGGCCTCCCCTTCCTCTCAGCTCAAATCAGACTCCAGACTGTTTCACCTTCTACCCAGGCAACCTGAAAGCCCCAAACCTGGGTCCTGACCCCAGCTGGCCCCCACCCTGAGCTTTCATGAGTGACAGGACAAGCCAGAGTGGCACACACCCTTCTCTCCTTTCTTCTAGGGGAAGGAGCTGGGCAGATCCCAAGTCCAAGGACTGGCCAGTGCCACCCTTGTAGTTGAGGTGTGTGCAGGGAGTCAGTGGGGGTCAGACACAAACAATTTCACCAGGCATTGTTCCCATCTGGAGCCAAACCCAGACCCGTCCCCCACTACACCACACTCTGTACCAGCTGCCACCCTCTTCACTTGGTCTTCTGACTGAGCTTGCACCGCACCAGCTGGCTGAGAATGAATGCAGTGAGGACACTGCTGCCCACGGTAAGCAAAAAGAGGCCAGAAAAATTGTGGGGCCAGTGGGTGTGCAGAGGCTCATAGATGGACCGCCGGGCCTCGTAATCCAGTGTCACAGCTTCCAGCTGAGCCAGAGTGCAGAGCACTAGGAAGATGTGGAAAACCTGATGGCCCTGCCCAAACATGTGGCAGCTGCCTGGGAACCAGCGCTCAGGCATGACAGTAGAGAAGAAGGCAGCAGCCAGCAAAAAGAAGACCACCTGGCACTTGTGGTAGAGAAGAGCAGGGTCATCCGAGGCGGGGTGAGGGGACACCAGGATGCGGTGCACCACAGGGCTGATGTCCAGTGCATAAGCCAGCGCCGAGGGCACCTCCTGGCAAATGCGGCCCAGCAAACCCGGCTGCTGGGTGTACTTGTTGTAGCAGGAGCCGGTACAGGAAAGCCAGGCAAGAAAAGCAGCTGTAGGCAGGAAAATGGCCTGCACCTGGGCATGCCAGGCAGGCTCGATGGCATAGTAGAAGTGTACCAGGGCACTGCCAAACTGGTACACGGCCACACCCACATAGTCCAAGAAGAAGAAGCTGTAATGCCAGAACTCGGACTTGGCCTGCAGGAGGTGCGCCAGGGAACTGAAGGAGAGGTAAGTAAAAGAAGCAAAGACGATGATGAAGAGGGGCAGGGCGTGCGGGTCTCCCCAGAAGTCCACGGTCCCCACAAAGATGGCCAGCCGCAGCAGCAGCACCAGGGCAGCCAGCAGGTGGGTCCAGACGTTCACTGCTTCGTTGTGCTGCTGGAAGAGGGTTCGGAAGTAGAAGCTCCAGGTCTGATGCAGCGGCCGGTAGCCCACATAGATGTATGGCTTCCAGAAAAGGGGTGGCACCTGGGCTCGGTCCACCATGAAAACGGGCTCTGGTTGCAGAGACTCCTGTCCAACGTGCCACAGGCTGGACAGTAGGTGGCTGAACCTCTGGGCTACTGCCATGGCCATGGCTAGAGGACTGGGCAGGGAGCTGGGAAAGAGGCCAGAACAAATTCAGGAACTGAGGTCCTCCTTGTCCCCAGCAGCAGCAGTGGGAGCCCTGGCCTATGTCTCACTCCCTCCTCCCCATACCTAACTTTAAGGAAAGAACTGTCCTAGGGAGGATCTCAGCTCTGGCCTTATGACAGCAGAATGCTCTTTGTTTGCTGATGTATACTAGGCACTTAGCAGTTCACATAGTGGGAGGCCAGTAGATGTCTGAGGACTGCATTCATTCATAAGGCTCCCACCTGTCACTTCCTCTCCAGCCCAGGCTCCAACCAGCAGCCCCAGCTGTTCTCCCTCCTAAAGTACAAACCTGACATAATGAACACATGATATGGGGACAGGCTCTTTCAGCCCCTAAGTTTGTGCCACCACCATTGTTAACCTTATGACCTTACTAACAGACCCACTGCCTCTACCTATAGCCTCTTCAGAGATGCCAGGGGCTCCCCATTAACTTTGTTACCCTATATGATCTGGTCCCTGCTCTTCTGCAGCTTTACTGCTCAACCACAATAATGACCAGGAAATGATGAGGCCTCAGCTTCCCTGTGGACACCTAGTAACCGGCTCCCTATGATCTGTTAGGTCCAGTCCTATGCTCCGTATTCCACTCTGGGAAGTTCTCAAGGCCAACACATTAAAGGCTGTGAGAGGTCCTGCAATACAGAAGTTTACTTAGCTTCATTGAACCTACTTGTGTGATAAGCTTACATGACCAAGGATTCCTATCCCTGTAACAATTGCATTATAAAGCCAGCCAAGTGTTGGGGGGAGGGGGTCTTGTGGTGGTACTTGAGATTGAACCCAGGGCCTTTGCACTAAACTACATCTGTAGACCTATTTTTTACTTTGAGACAGGGTCTCACTAAGTCACTAAGTTGCCTATCGTGGACTCAAACTTGAAGTTCTCCTGCCTCAGCCTCCTAGAATTCTGGAACTATAGGCCTATGTACAACAATACCGAGCTATGCTCATTTTTTTAGCCCTTTTTACAATTAATTTTCAAAACTTCCCTGTGGGATAGGCATTATTATGCCCATTCTGTTGCAGCAGATAGTGAAATTCAGAGAAATAAAACATTTTATCCAAGGTCACAGAGAACGCATACGGTGGAACCAGATTTAGACCCAGTTTTCTGCCTGCAGACCACGGACGCTCTCAGCTACTCTGCTGCTGCCCTGCCTCCTGCATCCCACGGGGTGACTTTGGAAAACACTGGTCTGAAGCTGGCAGCCAGGTCCTCTCCTGTAAACTATTCCCTCTGGGTTCCAGCAGTTCAGACTCCCTCAGGTCCAGTTCCCCCCTTGCTGTACACCAGGGATGCCCCAGACATGGCCACCTCCACAGGAGGGGGACAGCACTGACACACACCCCACAATCCCCAGACATAGTGGGCCTCAAAGACAGACCCAGAGGCAACATATTAGGGTGACAGAGGTCCTGCTCCCCTATTTCTTTTAGACCTCAGCTGGAGGCTGTATCACATCTAAATAGATCTATTTTCAAAATTAGTTCCATTCCCTGAGTCCAGGGAAAAGGAGGGACCAGGGGCAGGGATCAGGCCTGAAGCAGGAGGAAGGGGGTGGGTGCCCGGCAGGGACCATCCTGGAACCCTGAACAGTCTGCTCACCGAGCTGCCAGGCCCTGCCCTTTCCAGACAACCGAGCCCAGCACACTGCACCTCCAGGCCTCCCAAGCTGCTCTGCATCCCTGGGGGTTTTCCTCTCAAACCTAGAACTGATGAATTCTGCAGCAGACCTGGACAAAGTTACCAGATGCCAAGCACTAGGTAGCACTTCCACAGGTGAGGGGTACTAGGGCGGGGCTTTCAGGGACTAGCAATGTCTTATATGATGTCACCAGAGGGTGGTGCTAAAGACAACCTCCCTTCCCTCCCTTCAAGATTCCCACATTGCATCCTCCTAGCCAGCCCTCAGCTGCAGAAACCAGCTCACCATCAATTTCTGCATGAGACATGCAGAAAAGCCAAGAGCTAGCTGAAAAGTGACTTATCTGAGATCACACAGTAAGGAAAGAGGAAAACTGGGCTGGGAACAAGTGTTCAGGGCCTGGTTGATGGATGTTAGGCGAACCTGGCTGATTGCTATCCCCTACTTGGTGGGAATCAGAATGGAAGGAAGTTTAGTATAAAGGAGAAAGCAGGGCTGGGGATTTAGCTCAGTGGTGCCGCCACCTGCCTCACAAGGAGACGGTCCCAAGTACAATCCCCGGCACCAAAAAAGAAAAGAAAAGGAGGAAGCAGACACTCCGAAGGCTTGAGAAAGAGATGAACTTCAGATTCAGACAACCAGGTTTGGCACTAAATTTCATAACATAGCAGCTGTGTGACCTTAAACAAGTGACTTGCCTTCTCTGATCCTTAGCTCTCTTATGGGAATTTCAATATTATCTACCTCTTAGATTGCTGCAAAAGTTAAATTTACTAGAACTAAGTTTTAGCACAGTTGAGCAGCTTAATTATGATTGCCATTACTATCATGAATACTAATAGTAATATTTGAAATATCCCCAGCCTAAGAGATTTCTTCAGGGTTCTCTAAAAACCTCAGTCTGCCTTTAACCCTCAACCGCTTGTGCCACTGGATTGGCCTCTGTGTGTCTCCTTAAACATTTACCTTATCCCTGATGTGTATTTAGGGACCAGAGAAACTGGGCTGGAGTTTGGACCTCTGAGGACACTGACCTTATTTAATAATTAAGTTGTTCTCAGAAAAGCCTACTCAGAGTAACTCCTCTGGATTCACAAGAGGCCTGAAAACTGGCACTTGCCTATAGGTGCAAGAGGTGGCTGGGAGGTGACATCTTAGGGGACGCACCTCAACTCCAACAGCCCCAGAAGTCCTCTCCCAGGGTGTGAGGGCACAGAGGATAAAGGATGTCAGCGGGACCCAAAATGCATGTGTCCCGGCCTGGGGGAGACAAATGAGAAGTGCCTGACTCTTCCTTGTTCTGTGAAGGCAGAGAAGGTGGTTTGGCCAAGGCCATCATGCCCCCCTCCCTGAGATAACTCGCTTCAGCGTCCTCCTGCCACCCACCGGGCTCTCCAGGCCACTCTGACGCGAGGTCCCCTCAGTCATCCACAGTGCCCCTCCCCCACCCCCACCTCTCTGAAGAAATGGCAAGGAAACCAGCCCTAATGTAGCAGTGATTTGTCAGGGATCCCCACCTATTATTAACACCCCCCAGCCTCCCCAATCCTCAGTAAGCTGTGATTAAGGCACCCAGCCCCTCTGAAGATCCCCCAGTTTCAGCCCTACCATTTTTCATGGAGATGGGACAGCTGTCAATCAAACAGCTCAAGTCTCCAGATGTTCTCCGCCATTATGACAGCTGCAGCTGTCCTGGACACCCCACACCACTCCAGAAGATGTGTACCCTGACTGAGCAGGTTCAAATTTAAACCAAGCATTAGAACTGAATTTGGACCATTCAATAGGCTCCAATTAGTCTGGCCCCAGTTCAAACCAGTTTGAATCAATCAGTCGGCTCAAATTTACACCAATTACCAGCCTTTTGGGGCTACATAAGCAGCACTCCTCTCATACTCCTGGAGTTAGTCTAGGAGGGCTCCCTCTGGTCAACTGACTGCCTGTGTGTAGCATAGGTTCAAATACAGCCTTGCTCTGGTGGTCCTATAAATCTGCTCATGATTTTTTTTTCTTAGGCAGTGTAGGCTTGGAAAGTCCTGTAAATCTACTTTGGATTCTTATCATGACCATAGCAGTTACTTTAAAAGAAAAAGTAATAAATTCTAGGGGTTGTTAGCCCTGGAGAGCTTGAGAGACCAGCACTCAGTGATCTTCAGCAGAGACCAGGTATGGGCAATGTTGACTGGCGGCATCTGCCATTAACTGGTGTCAGCTGGTGTCATCAGAGCCACCAGCAAAAATGCACTTTGCCAACTTATGATTTCCATCTGAATCAAGCAAAAGAGCCCTCAAATGATTGGTGACATGGGCATGTCTTGGAGGATGTCTAGAAGGCTTCCAGGCTGGCCAAACGTCAGGATGAAGACCTCCAGGCCTCTGGTGGGAGCTTCTCAGTCAGTTGGAGCAGCTCCTTCCTCCCCTGCTGCTTGACTCCTCAGTTAATAGTCAGAGGATAAAAACAGCTACCTCTTGGGCTCTTGTGAAAGCAAAACCAAACAACGGATGCTTAGTGCTGGCTGGCACAGAGCTGGGTCCACTCTTTTTGTTGGGCTCCTCCTGGCTCAGCCACTCAGTCCCTGCTTGGACAAGGACAAGTCCCTTCCCCCTCTTACCCCTCTTTCTCCAAATGTCAAAGGAGAGGGTGAATTCACCAATGATTGCTAAGGGCTCCAACAATATTTATCTTAGGCCTACTATGTTCTAGGAACTAGAGCTTCTACAGTGAACAGAGCAGTTTAAAACACTGCCCTAGAAAAAAGAAAAATGAAAAACAAAAAACAAAAACCAAAAACAAACAAAAGAAAAAACACTGCCCTGAGAAAACTAAACCCAGCAAGTTCACACCCTAACTAAATAACACCTATTACCAGCATTATTTGGTTATACTTCCACTTCCTTTATCTCCTTCCTGGCATGCAAAATAGTCATTGTTGCTTTTCTGGGCTCTGATTGTTCAGCATTTTCTCTTAAAGATGATTATATCAAGAAGCCATGGGCCGGGGATTTAGCTCAGTGGTGCCACCGCCTGCCTGGCAAGCACAGGTCCTGAGTTTGATACCCGGTACAAAAAAAAAAAAAAGAAGAAGAAGAAGCCATGCAGGGCAAAGTCTAACGTATTAGATAAAAATAATAAGGCTTGGGGGCCAAGGATTTAGCTCAGTGGTTTCGCCATCTGCTTCGCAAGCGCAAGGAACCAAGTTCAATCCCCAGTACCAAAAAAAAAAAATAAGGCCTGGACTAGGGGTGCAGCTCAGTGGTAAAACGCTGGCCTAGCATGCTCTAAGTCCTGGGTTCTATCCCAGCACTAACACTACACACGCGCGCGCACACACACACACACACACACACAAGAAAAGCTTCAATGTATAGAAACATTACATGGTATCCCATTAATATACATAATTTTTGTGTTTTTATGTACCAGTTAAAAATAGTAAGCTGGGATGTAGCTCAGCGGCACATCACCAGCCTGGCAACCATGAGGCCCTGAGTTCTATTCTCAGTACCCTAAAATAAAAATAATAAAACCAGGTACTATGATGCATGCCTATATCCCAGCTGTTCAGGAGGCTGAGGCAAGAGGATCACTACAGCCCAGCAGGTCAGGGCCAGCCTAGGCAACATAGCAAGACTGGGTCTCAAAAAAAAGATAAAACAATAATAACACTAAGGCCAGCCTAGTGTTAATATTGGGGGTGTCAGAAGCGAACCCTCCTCAAGGGTCCTGATGAGGATGACACACTATTAGACACAAACATGAATCAGTTAGCTTGCTGATCCCTGAGAACATTCACACACATTTCGCCTCCCCCTCGCCTCTCAAAGTCAAGTCTAACCTGTTGCCCTTGCCCTGGAGGCAGGATGGTCTGTCTGACTGAAAACAGCTCCTGCTCTTCACCACCACCCTACATTGTCAATTCCTGGGCACCCAGCAGTGGGCACAGATTGGACGAAGAGAATTTTCCTCCCTGGCTGACCTCCCCATCTTTCAGCAACCAAGTCACCTTCTTCGCAGCAAGCCAGTTCCTCAGCTCAGCCTGCCTGCTGTGTTTTAAGAAAAATCCCTCCATGTCTTCCAAGACTGAACAGAAACTGTTTTTGTTTGTTTGTAAATGCACTTTAGTCCTCAATTTGTACTCAGAAATGTTATCAGAGTGAAAAAAAGTAATTCTTAAGGAAATTCTTCGGTGGAGCTCTGACTCACCACTGCTCTGAAAGGGGGACCGTGCAGGGGGAAGCAACCCAGAGAGGTCTGGCAACCTGGCCACAGTCACCCAGCACAGGACAAAGGTATGGGACCTGAGTTGCACCGATGACCAGCAAGGGCCCTCTGGACAGGGGAACAGAGGCCAGAGAAGGGCAGCCTCTCCCCAAGGGGCCCAGAGGCAGTACAAGCCCATGATGGCAGGCTCAGCCCTCCAGAAAGAAGCTCCAAGGTGGTGGTGGGGGGGGTCCTGGGTGCTTCAACAGGTGCAGCAGTCCCACAGGCCTCCAGGTGCTCCCCGGGAACAGTACCACGGGTCTTCAAGCCCACAGGCTTGAGCCCAGGGCTGCAGGTGCTTGTGGGACCCCTTTGCCCTTCCCCTCCCTCTGAGGAAATCAAGCTCTTCAGACACCAGGGGAGTCACTCCCATCCCAGGGAGCCCCAGGAAGCCTGGGGTAGGGCCCTCAGCAGGCTACTCCCTCGGTTTTGGTTCCCCAATTAGGTCCACTCACACCCCTTTTTGGCCCAACGTCACCTAGATTCCCTCTCCACGAAGGAGAAGCTGGGGATGTGGTGGGGCCCTGTTCTCTGCCTATGGGCCTCCAGGACCACCCCCCCCACCCCACTCCACCCCCCACACCGCCCCACCAGCTGCCAGTCCACTTCCTCAGGGACGTGCGGATCCACTGCACTTCCCTTCTCCATCCCTCACTTTCCCCTTCCTCCCTCCCCTCCTCCAACCACATCCTCCAGCTCCCTGCCCAGGGGGCTTCCCATCCCTCTCCTCCCACTCATCCCTAGCTGCCTCCAGCTCCGTCCTCCTCTCTGCCCCCTCCTAGCTGTTTCCCCCGCCAGGCCCCCACCCAGGGCCATAGGTGTTCCTGGGACGAGCTGTGCAGCGTCCTCTGCCTCGCCTCACTTCCGCCCCTCGACACCACGGGCTGGCGCTAGCGGAGCTGGACACCCGGAGTGCCGAGAGGACCCCTCTGCCCCCAGCCCGCCGCCCCGCTCCGCAGGCCGGGCTTACCTGCGGCTCAGGCACAGCTGGGAGCCAGCTGTGGTGTCAGGGGCCTCCGGGCCACAGATAAAGGGCCGGCCCGGCGACAGCCCCGCCCTGAGCCTGGGAGGACTAGCCAGGCTGCGTGCTCCAGGGACTGGGCAGCCCGCCCCCGCGCCCCCGCGCCCCCGCGCCCCCGCCTGGCTCGAGCACTTGCTGCCCCCGCAAGATGGAGAGCTCGGCCGCCGCCCAGGCTGCTCCTCGGGACCTTCTGTTCTTGGTACACAGTTGGGGAGGCCCAGGGAGCAGAAGCCGTGTCCAAGTTCCTCGGCTCAGTAGGGGGCTGCGGAGGCTCCAACCGAGCTTTTCCCACTTCCGGATGGTGAGAACCACAGGTTCCAATTTCTGGCATGGTGGGGAGCAGTTGTAGCGGGAGACTGAAGGAATGTCCTTGCTAGAAGGAATGTCCTCTGCCCAGCCCAGCACTCAGCACCCCCGCACCCCACCCCCATACTATGGTCCACATGCAACCCCACCCCACCCCCCGCCTCATTTCTCTGCTTGAGTGGGGCTGCACCCAACATTGGGCACCCTGATCTATGGAAGTTCCAGTCGAAAGCCCTCTCCTCAGGCAGCCTCTTGGCCAGTGAGCGGTCTGGACCTGTATTTAAACACGCATTTCTCAGTGTCGAAGCTTTCCCACTAGTGGCAGCACCTGAAGGGTGAGGAATCTGTGCACAGAAGGCCCTCAGTAAATACTGCATGGCAGTGTCACTGATTGCCCTTTCCTCTGGAGTGCAAAAACCTGGCACATGTGGAACCAAGAGACACCTTCACCCTGTCCTGGGAGCCCAGGGCGGGGTGGATGGCGGGATGGATGGAGGGATGGATGGAGGGATGGATGGAGGGCTTGTACAAGGGGACACTGCTCTGCCCCCAGAAAGCTCCAGGGGAGAAGCTGCTTTGGTCTGGGCAAGTCTCCTTGCTCTCTTGGACCTCAGTCTTATAGTCTGTTCAATGGGTATGTTTAAGATCTAAAATATCCCCCCAAGACTCATGTATTTAGAGGTCGGGCTTTCTGGAAGATGATTGGATCGTGATTTCTCTAACTTCATCAGTGATTAATCCATTGATGGAATCATAATTTGATGGTGTTATTGGTAGGTGATGGGAACAGGAGGCAGGGCCTAGTTGAAGGCAGTGGGTGGGTGGGGGATGGCTTGGGGACTCTGTCTTGTCCCCAGCCCCTTTCTCTCTGGCTCTTTCACTCATTCTCTGCTTCCTACCTACCACGAAGTGGTGCCATGACGTTTCTGCCTCACATCAGGCCCACATCAATGGACTGAAAACTCTGAAACCTTGAGCCAAAATTAACCTTTCTTCCTTTAAATTGATTATGTCAGGTATTTGGTCATAGCAATGACAGAGTGACTAATACAGCGATGAAGATCATACCACCATCCCGACAGGGTTATTAGGAGGATTGAATAAAACAATAGTCATGAAGGTACTACAATGTAATAGAGGAATGTGTAGTTCAGTCTATATGATAATGAAACTTACAGTGTAATAGCATGAAATCCATTTCTCCTTCAACAGATTCAGACAAACTCATAAGAATTATTAAAAATCTCAGGCCGGGGATTTAGCTCAATGGTTCCGCTGCCTGCCTTGCAAGCGCAAGGTCCCGAGTTTGATCCTCAGTACCCCCCCACCCCCAAAAAAGAAAAAACTCTGCTAGATGTCATGATGGTCACCTATAGTCCCAGCTACTTGGCAGGCTGAGGCAGGAGGATCACTTGAGCCCAGGAGTTCAAGGCTAGCCTGTGCAATATAGTAAGACCCCAGATAGATAGATGGAATTACTTAAATCTCAATTACCCGTGTGTATGGAAAAAGTGACACAGAAAAATTCTCATTTAGAACAGACAGGGTACAGGAAATGAAAACAAGGGCATTGTAGAGAAAATATTCCATATAATGGAATATATTGTAATGAATAAAAATTAACAACCTGAAAGTTGGCTTGGATTTGGCCACCATCTCTGAAACATTAGCTCTGGCTGGGCTGTTTTTAAAGCAAGTTTAGTAAGCTCTTGCCATGTGCCAAGCAGAGTGCAAGATGGGTGCTGTGGCTGCCAGTCTTGATCCGGAAAACTCTAGCAAACAGGTGCTATAATTAACCTATTTTATAAATTAGGAAACTGATAGAGTGGTGACAAGGGATTTTTTGATATATTATCTCATTTAAGCCTCATGCATTCCTCGGAGGCCAGAGTGACAGCCCCCATTTTATGGATAGAAAAACTGAGGCTCAGAGAGGAGAAATAGTGCATCCCAGGTCACACAGCTCCAGGTGTATTTAGGCTCTGGGAAGTGGGCCAGGAGGTGCACTGGTAGAAGAGAAGTCACTTAACCATGACACTTGGCTGTGGATACTAGTGCTGAATAATTAATGAAAGTAAGGACAGTGGTCATTTATGGAGCACTGACTGTCAAGCTCAGTGCAAATCCCCTCACATATGTGCTGTAGGTCCATGAGCATGATCTGTCATTATCTCAGACTCAGGAGGACACTGTCTGCCCAAAGCCACCTCATTGGCTAGTGACAGGCCTGGAACCGAGCCCAGCTCTTATCTGCTGCACAGGGCTGGCATCAAGGAGTGACCATTGAGGCAGGAACATAACTTTCCCTGCTCCAGCTCTTCCCCACCCAGGCAGGATGAGAACAGCCCAGGGGACAACTGAGGTCACTTCCCTGCCCTTCCCTCCCCCAGCTCAGCCTGGCCACCTGGGTAAGGCTGATAATTTGCTGCTCCAGGAACCCCCTCATTAATCCTTGAGCTTGGAACCATGGGAGGGGAACCTCTTGGTCCAGCTGCCATCCCAGGTCCCAGGCTCAACCTTTCTAGGAAAGAGGCCCCCAGCAAGCCTGGATTCCTGAGCCCGCTTACCTTAAGT